ATAGCAGAACAAGTGACAGTTCTACAGGGTTCAATTTCAACCTAGTGATGCCAATGACAATTTTAGCACAAGGGAGGAAAGCATTATCAAGAGCAGATGCCACACTACACCTTACGCTTATCTGTATATAACGTGCCCCCACTTAAACCTGCCTCTTGCCCTGATAGGTTTTTGTTTCACTTGTGATGAAAAGGGCAGGATACTCATCTGACTCATTTGTCACACCTCCATGAAACTGGCTTAAAATCTTCATTGCACAGCTCTTGATGTCTAGCCCTCATGTTTAGTGCCTTTGTTGCGCAAAATATTTTAGAGATCTTGTAGTAGTTTATAGCACTTATTCATTGACGGTTAATTATATCAGTTTATTGATCAGAAGACTATGCACATTCACACTCAATCTTAATTGACTACTTCAAAAGGTCAAGCAGTACGCTTTTTAACATTTTAATTTAATAACAGTAAATGCCACCAAGAACAAAATGTGAAAATCTAAAAGAAAAAACAAACAAACATGTCTTAGAACAGAATCTCATGTCATTCTGATACAAAAAAATGGTTCCTATTCACTGTATGATTTCATTCACGTAGTCTGGTTCATCTGAATAAAGGGGAAAGAAAAAAGTCATTGGTGTTTCATGAATTAATCGTAAAATGTTTTATCAATGTTACTGGTTTAATAATGAACATATTACCATCCTCATATCTATTGTCCCAGTTTTCATAATTGCAGCTATCTGCAAAAACATTGTCAAACGATAAGCAAAGAAACATTTTTCTAAAAACCATATCGAGTAAAAAAATTAAAATCTCAAATTGTTCTAAATCGATTAAATGTATATTTATTTTAAATAGAAAAAAGATTAAATATTTAAAAAAAAAGAACAAATGTATTATATATATATATATATAGAACATGTTATCTTACTGTTGAGTCCTGTGTGACGTTGTAACCGAACATCATTAGTGTTCATCGTTATTGATGAAAGTTATAAAGAGGTACCAAATATCATTTTATAAACTAATAACAGATTTGAGAATCACTGAAAACACCAACCTGAGTCATGTCGCAATTCTGGTGTTGGAAAAACATTCTCGTATGTTCCCGTGTCCAAATTTGGATCCGTATCTGGGGAATGTAAATGAAGCATTTCATTAAAACAACTGCTTCAAGCATTTTGTTCACTTGTGCAGTGAATCACACATCCGTGAACACTTTTTCAGTTTTGTGATTAGTGGCCTCGTTTTTGATCATCTACGGTTTTCTGACATGTTTACAGGTTCCTTGGTGCTCAGTTTAAAATGTGTCACTTGACCTAATTTTTCCTGTGAACAACTGAAGAGAGTGAACCGTGTAAAATGGTTGCATTAGACAATGACAATTACCAGCACACATTTACCTGTGTCGTCCTCGTTTGCATAAAGCAAATTTGGAATTGGGTCCCTATAAAAAAAAAAAAAAAAGCATGTATACGTATCAAATATACAATGTACAAATAATTTCAAGCAAACTTAGCTTTTGTAAAATCTTAGACTTTACAGAAAGACTTTACAAAAAAAGAAAGTCTTTGATCAGTATCTTGTAGACTTGTTTTCCTCACAAAACCATATGAAAAACAACACTCACACGTATGTTGGTTCCAAGATGACATTTTCTACTGCAGAAACAAAAACATGCATTACTTGGTTATAAGTTTGTATTTAAAAATGGCTTTCATCAAAAGTAATGTCTTACGATCGCAATAGCGATGAATCTTACCATCTGTAAGGTTTTGATAACTCCATTGGGTGTCACCTGTTTAGAAACAAAAATAAATGAATAAACTAATAAAATCACTCCAAATTTTGGATACATTTTAGAAAAATAAATCCTAAATTGGTACCACAGAGATAACAGTTTAAACATCCCAAATTTCAAAAGAAAAATTCTTACTATTCACAGGCCTGTTCGTCGGTGATCGCCTGTGAAAATACAATTGATCACGCCTGTAACATTTCCTTCATTTTGATCTTTCTATCATGACTATTCAGCAAATATGGCAGCTAATATTGTTCAGTTAAACATTACAGACTCAGTTATGTAGAAAAACATTTCCCCCCACCTAAAATATTAGATAAAGTAGAAAGTGGACATGACTATAACACTAAATAAAAAAACAAGTAGCTGCACTGACTACTGCTAAAAAGATCTCACCTTGAGGTTGAAGGCATCTCTCTTTGGTTTGGTCTTAGCACTAAAAAAATAGACAAGATATGAAGAAAATCACATTCTTGGCTAATGAAGAGCGCATTTTGAATCTCAGCTTTCCTCTGACAGAAAATGTGTGTAAAAGTAAGTGCTTTGTAATATTCTAAAGATAAAACACTGACACTAAATATAAGTCTATAATGAGATGCGTTTTCCTCTTCAGAATGTGGACATTAAAAGTGGACATCGCTTACCTGTTGTACGTTTTCTGCTTTCAGCATAATCACTGTCCTGATTGCTGAAAACAAAAAATTATGTAATTATATAATATATATATATATACACACACAATTATTAATTAACATGAATAAATATATAAAACACTTTTCTTACAAATCATCTTGGTCATAGAGGTCATTGTCCTCTTGTTGCATAGCTCAAAATAAAATACAGCAACATTAGACGACAAAGACAAATATATGTATAGTGCACAATTAAGAGCTGAGAAAAACAAACTGCATTTTTTTTTTAGAGCTGAAAGTATTGTAATGTCAGACTACTTACTAGATTTCTTTCCGCAGCACAGACAGAGAGCATAAATACAACCAAGGCAGGCCAGAGAAACAATGGCAAGGAGACCTCCTTGCTGGCTTTGGACTTCAATCATGCCTTGAATAAAAAGATTTTCTTTAGAAGATATAATTCTCTTAAATCTAATTTGACACTTTCAGAGGTTTACAGAGTTTTTTATATAGGCTATATATATATATATATATAAAAAAAAAGAAATCAGCATATGAGAACACATTTCAATGTTATCTATTCACAACCGCAAATACAGCTCTCACCATTCTGACACAATGGCACAAAGTATTAGTGCACAAGATAAGAGCATTTTCAGTGTGTAAAGATGATTCAACGTGATAGTGTTCGATGAAGCACTATGCCACATGTTTGAAAAGCCTGTCTTTTTGATCAGCAACTAACTGAACCGCAGGATGCAAGTTATGTAACTAGCGAAAGTTTCTTTCTTTAAGTTTTTATTTCTTTTGTTTGTTTGTTTTATTTATAACAGGTCATTTCATGAGAAGAAATGCAAGTGTCTGATAACATCAAAACCAGCTTCCCCCGTGTTACATATTAAAAAGCAGTTTTCTTCTAAGCAATTCAAACACGTCACACAGTTTTCTATCAATCATAGAGTTGAGTTATGAAGAGTATTAGTAAGTAATCTGTTACCTTCAGTGAGATTAGGCCTCTCACTCCATGTCCGCTCTGATGGATATTGCTGAAGTCAAATGAAGGACTAATGAGAGCAGTATGAACCTGTGTGTTTCCTGTTTTAAACTGAATCTAACCACATCCGTGCAGCATTGTGCCGGACACCAAGAAGAGACCCCCACAAACCCACAGCAACACACAAGACACAGAGGTGAAAACTCCTGCTTCAAAGTCTGCTTGCTACATGTGTGTTCAAAATGTCAAACCTTTGAAATGCAGCCTTTCATTAGCATTTGGTGACAAACTTGCATTCAGTATCACGTAGAACCTGGTTTTTGTGTCTTCAAATGGAGCAGAATGTGATTTGAAGGAGAAAATCAAAGGCTGAGTCTTTCAGACGTAAACTCCTAGAGACTGGGTTTATAATGAGATAACATACGCTGGAGGCTCTATGGAAGCTGATGAAGGCTAGTTAATGGTTGCAAGACCTAGTTTTTTAAATGAGAGGATGAGGTTTCATTATTTAGGGTTTATGACATTTGGCATCTGAGTCTGTAGGTGGTGTGTGGGTATGTTTTTTCCACTTTTTAAGCATTTTGTAAGATTGTTTTCTTACAGCAACAATGGTGTAACAGTTGACAAGGTCCTTCATTTTGATATATACTTAAAAATGTTATGCTAAGAGGGTTAAAACATTGTTATGATGTGATTCAATTAATTAAAAGTCCATGCATTGTGGTATACAGTATAAGTATAACTTCTTCAAACTAAATATAAAATAGTGCACATGTTTTTAAGGCACAGCTGTGATCGAGCTTTCACTGTAGCCGCACTTAAACTTTGGAACAGATCTTTATCTTTTTTCTTTAGCCTACAACTTGTGATGTTTTTATGCCCTGTTTTACATCCTTTGTGTCTTATGTTGGGTTTTATTGTTTCATTGTACAGCACATGGTCAACTGTCGCTGTTTTTATAAATCAAATTGAGATTGAGATATGTTTGAATAGAGTATATTTATTTAACAATATGTAGAAAAACATTTAGATTCATTTATTTATATTTATAAATATTTTTATTACATTTCACAATAAATTTCCATTTATTAACATTATTTAACTACATTAGTTAACAGAACTGACAATCTAAAAAGGTTTCTAAAGCATTTATTAATCTTAGGTAATGTTAATTTCAAAATGTACTAATCTATTATTAAAATTAAAAGTTGTATCTGTATATTTGTACATTGTATGGTTCAAAATTATCGATTTTTCTTTTATGCCAAAAATGAGGATATTTTTTTGCACCCTCAGATTCCAGATTTTCAAATAGTTTTATCTTCTCCAAAAAATTGTCCTATTCTAACAAATACACCATACATCAATGGAAAGCTTATTTATTCAGCTTTCAGATTATGTATAAATCTTAATTTCAAAAAATTGACCCTTATGACGGTGGTTGGTCACATATTACATTTTTTATGGACACACTTTATTATTATTAAATTATGTGAATTTAATTGATCATTATTAGAACTGACATGTTATTGACATTATTACACAGAAAGATTGAAGACCACTGTGTTTTTCCTCAGTAATAACCAGAATGGAATTTTTATTTATTATTGTAGCAGGAAGTGATGCATGGAAATACAGACATTTTGATCTGGTGTTAAATTAGCACAGAATTTGGAGACTCATCGAACATCACCCCACAGAAGGGGAACTGATCTTTCACAATTTTATTTTAAATGTACATGATGGTGTGGTCATAATATCAAAACTTATGGGAGGCGTTCTTCATGAAGCTTCCTCGCTGCCCCATATGTGGAAGCTCAGCATTCTGTTGTGGCTTGAAGAGTGGAGGCTGTGAATCTTCAGTAAACAGTGGATGACACTGAGTGAAAACAATGGAAAGTGTGACTACAAGCGAACGTGACATTTCACTGCAAAACATTCCTTCGTGAACGTCATTTTTCCATTTGAGTTCTGATTCAGTGATGAACAGCATGTTAGTGTAAAATTGCTTTTCTATTTTCATTATCACCATTATCACTGTATTATCAGCAGCAAAAATGGAGGGAAAAGATGAACTGAAAAGTTTAGATATTCTAAGTGTCTTAGTTTGATCCATTGATTAGGTTCTTCTTCTATTCTTTGTTTCAAAATGTTCATAATCTTCATGAACTTTCATTTCATTTACAGCTTTACATTCGATTTGAAATCCCAGTTTTTGGCCTCGGACTGGAGCGAACGGTTTACATGTGCATATGTATGAAAACATTTATGAATACTCACAGGCACTGCTGCTCAGGCTGGAGGACATGTAACTGCTCCCTGCACCTCCTCCGAAGCCCAGTCCTCCACCGAGTCCCAGTCCTAGACCCCCAAGACCACCTCCTAAGCCTCCGCCCAGCCCAAATCCACCTCCAAGACCTAGACCGGCACCTCCTCCCAGGCCTGAGGCACCTCCACCAAAGCCTGCACCTCCTGCACCCAGGCCTAGACCTCCTCCTCCGACCATAGTCTTAGACATGTGCACGGTGACACCACCTCCAGATTTCAACCTGGTCCACGAGACAGATACAATGTGATTGTTGAGTAAACAAAATCTCATCCACTCATGTTAAACAACCTCACCTGTTCTCTTCACTGTCCAGGAGTTTCTTATAGGCCGTGATTTCAACATCCAGTGACATCTTGCTGGCGAGAAGCTCCTGATATTCTTGACCATAATGAGCAATTTGCTGAAGAAAAAAACCCATTTAGATTCTAAATCTGAGTGATAACCTAGGTTATTTCATTGTTTTATTTAGTAAAGATAACTTAGTGTTTGTTAGTTTTTATCATTTAGTCTTAATCGATTTATATATTTATTTACCTTTCTGAGATCATCAAGCTGGGACTTAAGAGTAAGAACCTGATCCTGGTATGTTTCTGTGTGGGAGCTGGAGTGAACTTCTGCCTCCTCCACCTGAGACTCCAACTGCAAGTTCTGTCAAAGGAAAGGACATCGTTATTCACAAGAACTTTAATATAGGGGGGTTTAACCCTTTGTGACAGCATAGCAAGTGCTTACCAGAGATTTGAGCCTCTCAATCTCTCTCTGCACAGAGTCAATCTGTAGTTTGTAAACTCTGAGCTCTTCCTTGGCTGAGGTGAGTGTTTGAGACGTGGGCTGAGAGGATACAGACATCATGGAGAGCTAAATAGCCAAAAAAGAGAAAAGAGGTCGTTAGCTTTGCCCAAAGCATGTTACTAGACCTGCGATACAAGGACTCACCACATGGGGGAGGCAGTTAGTAAAAGATGAACTGAGTTTCACCGGGAGGTGGTACAAGGATGCATTAGACTCATGCTATTCATTAGGAAAGTTTTATATAAAGAAGAAATAACAAAGCAAAAAAAACTGTAAATTACTTTAAAGCCTTAAATCTATTCTTTGAATAATTTGTAATTATTTGTACTTGTTTACAGATGTGAGATTAAAATTATTATTATTTTTTTTAAGTATTTGTTTTCATTCAGTCTAAATGTTATTGCCCTTATATGTTCTTTGTTCTAAAAAATTGCAATAAAAAAAAAGGAAAGTTTTATATAATGTACATAGTATTTGGCATCAAATTACAACTAGGTTCTATGTTAAAACTGCACTAGATAAATGAAGAATGAGTACATTTTCTCTGTATTAATCTTAATTTATATACATTTATATAATTAATCTAAATATTATTAAATAAAATAAAATTTGAATAATTAAATAAAATGATATTGTATTAAATTATTATCTAAAATTATTTTAATCTATTAACATCTCAGTTAATATATTTGAACCACAATACAAATATATTTAAATATTATATATATTTTTAATAAATTATATATATATATATATATAATTTATAAATATAATTTGATATAATTATATAAATAAATAAATATAATTAAATAAAATAAATATATTTATAATACATTAAATAAATTCATATTTTAAAAAAAATGGTTTTAACCTTATTTCAAAATATTACAGTACCTAATATTCTAAATGGGAATTAGTAGAGTTTTCTTATTAAAGAGCAAAGGTTTCTTACACTGTCCTGCACTGAGAGGAGGGCGTCCTGCTTGCTGCGTTGAGCCAGGATTTCATAGTGAGCTTTGACTTCAGTCAGCGCTGAGGTCAGATCCTGTGCCTGGGCTGCGTTATCCACTGAGATAGACACTGCTGACTTCACACCACCAGTCACAATGTTCCTCACCTCTTTCACTTTCTAACACACATGCAGACAGACAAACACAAGCTTAGGCCACTGGGAAATGAACGATCCATTTTAACACTGCTGAAATAAACGGAGGCACAGAGGTATCCTGCAGACTCACGGCATCATACACCTGTTTGGACAGAGCAATCTGATCCTCCAAACCACCGATGCTGGTTTGCAACTCAAAGATGGAAAGGTAGAGATTATCCACTTCCTAATGGAGGAGAATTCGTGAGAGTCATTCATTAGTAGGCCATAAAGTACCATCCGGATGATGTATGTTTCGTACCTCTTTCAGCGCACTCCAGTCAAACTCCAGAGTTTTGGTTTGAGCCGTTTCCTCATCATACCTGAGACAATAAAGGAGAGAATGTGCAGGTACGTCAGTAATTGTCCTCTTGTCTGGTCCTTTCTTACCCAAAGGGCATATTTTACCTGTGACAATCACCTAAGCAGGTGGTCAGAGATATAAAGACCAATTTGAGAAAGTTTAAATGCCTTCACATACTCATCTGCACAATTACTTTGGCAATACAGATGAGCACTATTCATGTAGAGTATTAAAATCAAACCACAAAGTGCCAATAAGAAGGCAGAACTAATATCGTTGGGCAGCAGTTAAGTGGAATATAATTACAAATGTGTACTCAAATGTAATGAAACATTTTATTGAAAGATAAAGGTGCTTCTAAAATGAGCTTTAATGTCAGGTAATCAATGAAGTTTCTTTGATGAAGCTTTCAAAAGTTTGGGGTCGGTATTATTTTTTCATGGTTTTGAAAGAAGTCTCCAACAAATATACAGTAAGAACAGTAATATTGTGAAAGATTATTAAAGATTATTTCAGCAGTCATTACTTCAGTCTTAAGTGTCACATGACCCTTCAAAAATCATTCTAATATGATGATTTGGTGCTCGAGAAAAAAAAACATTATTATCAGTTTTGAAAACGTAATATTTTATGTGGAAAATATGATAAATTTTTTTCAGGATTGTACATGTCTTCTTTGATCAACATGATGCATTCTCTCTGAATAAAGTCCTAATTACTTAACAAAAAAAAATCTTACTGACCCCTAACTTTTGAATGGTAGAGTATAATTTTTATTAATATATTTTTTTTTAATTCTTGAAAGTACGTTTCTTCAGATTCTGTGGACTCACCTGGCCTGAACATCCTCAATAATGCCTTTATAGTGCTCAATCTCAGCAATGATGGCCTCTTTAGTAACAGTGAGGCTGTCGATCTGGGATTTATACTTTCCGATGGCAGAGGTCAGAAGGATGGAAGTGCTAGCAGGTCCCCCCTGCTCTGGGTTAGTAAACATGGAAATTTTGGCTTTTAGTACTGCGTTGTGCTGCTCCAGAGACCTGGCCTGTGACACGACAACGTTATAGCCATTAGAACCTATTTGTAAAAGTCTTTTCTAATTACTGACCATATGTTAATCTGACATAGCTTGATATTTGTAAAAATGCTTGTAAATAAACCCAAATTTGACCCACCTTATCAATGAAAGATGCAAATTTATCATTGAGGGCCTGCAGCTCCTCCTTCTCTTTCAAGCGTGTGATCTGCACCGTGTCCAGTGATGGGAGTGTTGGGTCGATGCTTAGCATTGGACCGGCACCTGCGTCCACTATAGTGGTAGAGCTGATGAAGGATGGGTTGAAACCATAGCCTCCGATTTTAAACCCTCGGCCCCCTAGACGGGCTCTCAGTGGAGCCACACCAGCCCTGATCCCCACTGCTCTGGCTCTGCCGGCACCCAAACCGAGGCCTCCACCGAGAGCGAGAGCACTTCCAGCCCCAAAACCTCCTTCCAGGCCTAGACCGGCTCCTGCTCCACCCCCTCTCACCAAGCCGAGCGAACGGGACAGAGCCGAGCTAACGCCTCCACCGCTTCTGGCTCCGGAGAACAGACGGTTGCCTCCATAGGTGGCTCCAAATCTGACGGCTCCCCCACTGATACGCAAGCTTGACTCTGTCATATCTGCACTCAGAGCTGGGGTCCAGGTCTTTGCCGAGGAGTCCTGGTGCTCAGTCAGGATGCCTCGATCACACTTTGTTCTTTAAATACCCAGCTCCTTGCAGGGCCGCCCAGAAAGGTTCGCTGTTGTCAGTGAAAGTCATATGTCCCGGTGGAAACACAGGCAAGCGTCCCCCCTGAAGGCACTGATTTCTCTCCAACATGTCTGAGGTAATTTAACAGCCTTGGTATGTGCGATTGAGAGAAATACAAACCCTGCAGCAACTCTGTGCACATTTAAAGAGAGTATTACTGACATTTTGAAACTCATTTTAGATTTATGTATAGTCTTAATATTATCCTTTAATTCTTTAAACATTCTTCAATTAACATTAATAGACTGTTCATTCAAATGTATCTAGTTTTTAAACGTTCTAAAAAGAGTAGCACAACAACATCATTAATACATTGTTTATGGAACGTTTCTCTGAAACATTTTAGTCGGATTTTTTTATTTAAAGTTTAAGTGGTGATTCAGATGGTTTAGAGAACATTTTCATAATGTTTGCAAAATGATTAAATGGAATGTTCCATTAATGTTGTCCCTAATGTAGGCCAAATAAAATGTATAAAAAACTGTACGTTTTGAACATTCAGAAATAATGTTTTGGTAACATAATGGGGACATTAATGACATTAACAAAACATTCTTAGAACATTTTTGTAACATTATAAATGTAATTTGTAGCATTGTAAATGTGTTGATCATTTTAATGCATCCTTGTCTCTGTATGTTTAAATAAAGTATCATATGATTGACATTTTGAAAGTCATTTTATATTATGGTATAGTCTCATTATTATTATTATCATCAATGTTGAAAACAGTTGTGCTGCTTAATATTTTTATGGAAACTGATACATTTTTTTCAGGATTCTTTGATAGAAACTTGAAAAGAACAGGATTTCCTGTGCAACATTACAAACATCTTTACTCTCACTTTTGATCAATTTAATGCATCCTTTAATGCAAGAGCGCATCGTATGATTGACATTTTGAAAGTCATTTCATATTCGTGTTTAGTCTTATTCAAGCGCGCACGGGAGATAAACCGTGAATTTCATGTTACTGAGCTGACAAGCCTGTAAGAGGAACCTGTCATAAATCAAGATGGCTGTGACAGTGAGAGGCAGGTGAAATGTATTTTTTTTAACCCAAAGGATAAATTGGAGTTGCAGCAAAATTGCTGACAGGTATGCAGCGTGCTGTAACAGCTTCCAGAGTGTAATGCTGGGTCAGGCTATATTTTAACTGTTACTTAATCAGTTTAGCTATATCTTAGTTACAGGAATCAACTTTTTCCCCCTTTAAAATAAACAGTTACAATAGTTGGCAGTTGAATATGCTAGAGTCAGCTGCATCCAGCTCAAAAAGACATGAAAAGTTATTGTCCTGACCCTGATACACCATCCAGGAGAACCCATGCTTTTATATCTCTGGAGATATAGTCAAGTATATTACAGAAAACTGTCATTCTGAGATTACTGATGAAAGTTGTACAGATTCATACATTTATAAACACATAATCAGAGATGCAGTGGGATCTCATTTAAAGATAACACCCAGACTAATAAGAAAAGAACAGATTTCTGTCTTAAAATGGTCTTCAACTGTGCTTTTTCATGCTTTCTAATAACAAGATGCAAATGATTACAAGATGATCTGCAGTTTGGCATGGATTACGCTGAAACTTTGCCAGAGGAAAAACAAAGGCTTTCATGAGTGTCCAAGCATGTGCTCACTGATACAGAAGACTCCAGAAATACAGAAAATAGCCTTGCACAAATAAAATCCCATAAGAAATGTGGCAAAATACAACAATGTTCAATTCATCTGCTGGATGTGTAGTCAAATAAGCTTTATTATTTACATAAAAGTCATCACAACCATTAGAGTACGTGTTTTAATAACATTAAAGAGGTATAAATCTGAAAGAAACATCTTACCAATGATATTTTAGATCAATGTGCTTTAATATTGGTATGATTAGTACATGGGTCTGCTAAATGCTTGGTTATGGATATGGCAAAGTCAAGGGGATAGGATAACAGAAAGTTGACTGAGCTCCTGTCTAAGCTCTGTAATATTGTTTTATCTTCAATTACAAACAAATAGATAGTCTAATACTAACAGTAACTATTCTAACAGTAGAATAGTAAAGCTATAGTTTTATATCATTCCCCTCCTGATTAGACAGAGTTAACCCATTTAATCTTAAATATTGTTTTACACTGCTTGAATAGGCCTATGAAATGAATGGCATACAAAAAAAAAAAAAATGTAAAAAATGATCACATTTGTAGATTGTGAAAAATGTCAACATATTTATATTTTAATTTTAACATAAAAAAAGTAAATGCATTTTTATCAGGTAGTTTTGGAAAAGGAAAAATAAAAATTAATTCATTAATATTACTTTGTGTTTCATTAATGTAACAATACATTGATTGGATTCTAATCAGTTAATTATTCAAAAGGGGCTCTTGGTTTCCCACCAGGCACATATGTGACCATTGACATGTTTGCATGTATGAAAAGAGCAATTTAAATCCTACATTAATAACATGCTTTTTTGAATCTACAATTATCAAACATGGAATTTAACCAGAGGTCATGTGACAGTTTACGCCAGCCATGTAAAAATGTTCACATGAAATCAAGACAGTCTGCAGATCCATTTACTGTGTGTAAAACACCTCAACTACTCGTTTAAAACCATTCCAACTCAAAAGTACATGTAATTTGAGGGATTAAATGGGTTAAAGGAGTACAGAATAACAATCAGCACCTTGGACAGCATCTAGAGAGAACCCCAAATCAAGATTCCTTTCAAGCACTGGCCCACTGTTGTGTTTCACCATCCATTGATTTCCAATTATAACGCATTCAACTCATTATTCAGATACATTGTAAAGTCCACCATACGATGATTTTAGGAAAGACCAGTCGCATCTCCCAATGTAGACAAAGAGTTTATAGATGCCTGCTCATCTTACATATTTACAAAAGCCACAGTTTTCATTGGTCCCGTTATGAGGAGCCTGTAACTCCGTCCAAAACGACTCCGTCGGCGTCGCGGTGTTTAGCGTCAGTGTTTGTCGGTGGATGTTGCGGTGGAGCGGGGCGAGCGATCACGCAGCGGCTCAGCGCGGGCTTCACTCTGACCGGGATTGAGGAGCCACAGTTATCCCGCTCATATTCCTCCTGTGCCCTCAGTATCTTCCTCTTCTTCATCTTGCTTTTGTGAAAGTGGTAGGTGGTCAGTGACAGTAATATAATCCCTATAATGACCATTCCCAGCACCAGAAGCGCGACAGTAGATGAGAAGGGCTGGAGCACGTGCTGAACTTTCTCCGCGCGCGTCCCGTTAGTCTCGGTCGCTCCGTTAAAAGCGCCCCAGGTAATCTCAGACGTCTTCATTATTCACAGTCCGTGAATTCAGCTTTACAATTCCAAGAGAACTGATTAGAAATATCCGTTAGTCGTTGGATTTATTTCAGCCAGTTAGCCATCTCTTTTGACAGCCCTGAAAATAATTCAAAAAGGAGGAGAATGAGGATGTTTGGAAACTTGAAAGATTTAATTTAATTGACTTCACAGACAACAAAAATTGCTTTTGGAAAATAAGGTATGCTAATTAAATGTTTTATCCGTACCTGGTATAACAGCCCGGTCCCGTTCACTGAATTGGTGTGGAAAAAAAGGTGTTGGTTTGGAAAGATGACTTCCCACAGATCTCTGACGTAGCCTGTATTCATTACGTATTCTGCGAGCCTTCGCCGCAACTAGGCTACGTTGTAAAAACCGTAGGAAGGGTGTTATCGTTTTATCGTAAGTGCATAATACGACAGATGTCGTTTCTTGACGTAATAAATATTTTCACGTTTTAAAATGTTATGACGTTGTAAGAACGTCCCATTGCGACGTTTAAAGAATATCCTTACCATGTATAGGCTATAGAACTATAGTAGCCTACAACATGTCCTTGTTTTTGTCACGCACGTTTCACAGTAAAGTGCTTACCAATAAACCAGCAGAGAAAAGGATAAATCAAATATAAAACTTTACTGTTATCGATATTTGTCATGAGGTAAAAGTGCCTTACCTCTGAAAGCCCTTCTGTCAGACTCCCTGTGCGCGCCGGATTGAAAGTCTCTTTCATTCACGTTTAAGAATAACCACCTCAAAATACTCCACAGATCATTTATTATATCATTTTGAAAATGCCTATTTTGAGTGGAAGCAGAAACACGCTGTTTTTCGGGCCTGTCTCTTTACATGCAAATGAGCTGCTGCTCCCCGCCCCCTTTTCCAGAATAGAGCTGTCATTACAACTCGCACCTGCTAAAAACATCTGTTTTGGTTCTGATTATCATGTGTATCGCGCTGAAATCATGCGTTTTAAATCACGAGTTTAAACTTCTGATATATGTTTTTCTGAGCGCACACATCCAAAGCACAGGAACAGAAAGCGGCCACCACACAGCATGTGAGTACTAAACGAAGTTCTCATTCACACACAAGTTTACGTTAAAAGCACACATGAGCTACAAAAACAGTCGGTTATGTCTGTGAAGGTAAAAGCTGGGAAATAAATCGCTTGTTTATTTTAGATCTTTGTGGCAGCAGCAATATACATTAAATAAATCAATAACCGGCGCTGTGGGTGTAAACTTACAGATTAAGGGGCGGTAATATTATAATGAGATCCCTTTGCCACGTCACCAAGGGAGCGAAATCAGACGCGCTCGTTTTCTCAGAGGCTTGCAGAAAAAGGCTTCCCAAAACAAAGTTACTGGGTTAATCTTTTTCACGTTTCCTTGGTTGGTAGATGCACCAGGGACCTGATTATAGCACTTAAAACCTGGAAAAGTCGGATTTTCATTATATGTCACCTTTAAGTGAAATCTCTGGCAGTCGTGGTAAAAATGACTTAAATTTGCCTTTAAAGTGTGTATAAGAGTTGTTTAATTCAGACTTCACGTAAACGGTAGCCCAAGAGAGCGTTCTCATTAATCTCGCGATCCAGTGCGCGCTCCCCTATCATTTTTCACCATTTATTTTTAA